CCTAATCTCAAGGCCAGTACATCGGTACTCTGAAATATTCTCTCCTCTGTCACCTTCTAGGGCAGCTGTTTTCAACTGGTGTGCCACAAGAATTTTCAAAACATGTAATGTGGTAGCCCCTTTCACGTCCCGCGTTATTCAGGGTACCTATTCGGGGTTCGGGTTCTGGAGAAGGCCGCACACAAAATGAAGAGAGACTAGAAAAGAATTAATTTGGGAAATGGGGGCCAGGCGGGAGTCCACCTCTAGGGGGAGGACTTCACTGGTGCTCAGGCCTCACCAAGCTTTTATTGGTATGAGATACACCCATAGCCCTTAGGAAGGGAGGTTCCAGTGACACACAGACTATTTTATCAATAAGGATTTACATAAGTAAAGGTGGGGAGGTTGCTTCAGCTACCATTATCTGGATTAACAGAGGTGGTGCACAGCTCTGACCTTTGCTAGGGCTTCAAAGGTCACCAGCCTTCCGGGTTCTCTGTCTACGTTTCTCTGCTAGTGAAGACAATGAGTGGTTTCCAACATCTCCCCCTTCTTTTTTCCTTAAAAAATCTTGTATTTGTAGATCAGAAATAAACATATAAGAACAAAAAATGTTTAAGTCCCAAATTCAATGTCCAACAGTTCTGAGTCCAAGTTTCAATGTCCGACAGTTCCTTATGTGTACATGTCAGCAATGATATTTCAGTTCTGGATGGTGGACAAATGGTGGCAATGCAGGTCCGACTCTCTCTGGTTTGATTCTGGGCAACCTGCAGCGACGCACAGCTGCTTGACTGCTAGCATGGCAAAGTGTCATCAGCGTCTTCCATCTCTGGATTGTTTTTCCTCTTGTCCTCATGGCTGGAGCATTCCTGATAATTCCTCTCTGTTGCAGGAATTCACATGGTCTTGGAGTTGTGTTCTGAAAATATACAAACGTATTCTCAACCAAAGGTTAATAAAGGAAATTTTATTGGGGTCCTTTTTATATTTGCCCAAATGATTTTCCTTTGGCTTATTTTGACACCACGTATGTTTTTCATGGGTGTCTTGCTGTTAGCATTACAAATGAAAAAAATTTTTTTAGATGTAATTTAGTTACAGGATATTTTTCCTTACATGATATTTTTCCACTATTCCCCATTTTTGATTTAATTATTAGGAGGCTTTTGGAAAATGTTTATAATGCAGTCTAGATAACTTTAAATTTTAATTTTTTGCACAAAAATATGACTGCTTTAGGTTCATTGCATGTTAAGCAATTTTACCATGAAATGAAAATTTTGGTTAATACTTCTTGAGCCAATTTTAATTAATCTGAAAACTTGACTACTATTTTACTGTCAAATTTAATACTCAACAACAATCTTAGTTTACACTGTAAATATTAATGGAAAGGATTATTTTGCATCCTTGAGAAGGCCCTGAGCATTCCTGGTGTTAGGCTGGATTTAGATATAGGGTAGCTGCTGTCAGCCAAGTCTCTTGTTTGAGTCCCTATCTGAGCTGGGACTGGCAAGCTGGAAGCAGCCATCGGGGCAGGAGACCTCCCTCAGAAGGGGCGAGTGTTCAAGCCCCAGCATAGTTGGGGGGGGGGGGTGAGGATCTGTGCCCCACCTCTGTTGACCCCGAAGTTCTCTCCTGATGGCCCCTCTGTGACTGTGCCTGTCTTAGGTTGTTCCTTCGCTGAGGAATCTTACCCGTCTCTGGCTAACCAGCCACCCTCCGGGGCGAAGCAGGGTGATGTGAGGTTCAGTTCTGTCTCCTTGGTAGCCTATGCCCCTGTGGCCTCCACGCCCAGCAACTGCCTTGGGAGCCCCTCTCCTGCTGGCGGGGCCCCGGCATTGATCACATATCTTGGGGAACCCAGGTTTCTTCTCCAGGGAGGGCCCAGCTCACGCCATTGGGCGAGAGACAGATCCATGGTATCAGCCACCATGACCTCAGCATGAACAGAGAACTCAGGCAACAGCTGTAGGCAATTGGATTGTGAGAAGAGGGACCCTTTTGGCAAAAAGGGCCAGAGAGGCCAATATAGAATGCTTAAGTGCCTTCCTAGGGGGCCTTCCACACAGTGGAAGGGATTAAATCCTTTCATATCCTTATTAAATTGCTGCCAAACATTCAAAGAATTAGTTTGTAAGTCTGTTTGGGATAAATGTACAATATGCTGTTGTAAAATATCAAAAATTATTAATGACATTGTAGAATAATATCATGTAAGGCTATTCTTTGCTCTAGGCCATGGCAATTCAATTTTAAACTGGTTGTCTCAAGGTTTGGAATGAGGAACCTGGTCTGCCAAAAAAAGCAGTTTACAGAAGCAGAAACAGCATGTTATCTAAATTACAGTTTTGGGTCTCCGGAACACTGAGTCAACAGGGACACGTTAACCGAAGCCCTCTGACCTTGGGATAACTGTGCTGTCCTTCCTAGGTAAAGGAAAATGTGCCTTCTAAGACCAGTATGAAACTATAGTTTTTACCTGAGATAATTGTTACCATACTTCACTTTACCATGCCCCAGGTGGTCTCTGGGCTATTTGTTGTCTGGCTCGTCCTCTTCCTGCTGGGTTACACTTGGAGAACTTCAATTTTAAAAAAAAATCTTTTTCTTTTACACCAAGTAACCTACAGGGTTACTTCCTGGATGTTGACTGATAGTGCCGCAAGGTCATGTATTTCAAATCAAAGTCATTAAACATTTACGGTGACTGTACTTATTTTCAGATTTGGTATTTTAACAGCAAATCATTAGATTATCCTATAAATAGTAGTGGAAGATATTTCAAAATTTTTAAATTTCTCCTTTTTATTAAATTTTATTAAATTTAGTCCCAAGCTGGAGGAGGGCTATCTCCAGCTTCCTGTTTTCCCCCACAGAGGGCACTGCCCCCAAGTGGGGAAGGAGCTTAGGATTGGGGAGGGACTGGGGAAGGGTGGGAGGTGGGGCCTCCTTTGCTGTCCCCTGTTGGGGGAAAAGAGACCACTATGTACTTCTGGACACTGCCGGGGCCAGAGGGGGCAGTGCTGGGGGGTGCAGCTGTGGCAGTGGAGACCAACTTGACAATGGGCTGCACACTGGGGACCGTGGTAGTGACAGGAGAGGTGGTAGTGGAGCTTGAGCCAGGGGCTGAGGTACTGAGGGACAGGACCTGTTGGGTGAATGAGGCACTAGAGGACGGTGACATTACAATAAACTTGGTTGGAGGAGGGGAAGGCTGAGGTGGAACAGCAGCTCGTGCAGACACCAGTGTCTGGACAGGAAGTGCAATGGAGACAGGGACTTTCAGCAAGCCAGGGGTCTGAGGGCCAGGTTGAGAGGCCTGAGAAAGAGTCAGCGTGTGTCGGGTCTGAGTGATAGTCAGAGTGGTCCTGTTGACCTGTTGAGCCTGCAGAGCAGCTTGAGCCCGGGCCTTGACCACATGGGAGCAGAGGAGGGGTCCAAGGGACCCAAATTCTGCCTGATAGGCATCCTGATTGTCAGGTGGTGGGCGCAGCTTTGCCAGAACAGGGGCACAGTGCTTCAGGAGGAGGCTCTGCACGTGGTCAGCTCCAATTCGGTCAATGTTGCTTAGCACAGGGCCATCCAGGACACTTCGGATCTGCTCCCCCTCCTGCTGTAGCCGTGGCAGAATCAGAGTTTCAATCACATCATGTCCCAGCTCGGCCAGGCCTGCAATGGAGCCGTAACGTGTAGTCCATGGAGTCTTCTCATCCACCCAGCTCTTGGTGAAGGTCTTGGTGATCCGGGACTGGATGTTGTTAGTGGTTGTGCTGAAATGCTTGCAGATCTGGGCCACCAGGCGGGCAGCAAAGTCTCGGAGTGCCCAGTGATTGTCCACATCTGGCCTCAGACACAACTGTCTGCTCACAATGCAAGTCATCACAGCTGGAATCAATTCATGCACGTATTTTTCTAGATACAGCGTAGGGTTGTCCATCAGTGCCTTCACCATGCGCATCAAATAGATGAGCAGGGCCAGGTTGTTCTGCACCACGTTCACACGGACCCCCTCTGAGATGAAGGTGCTGAATCGTGGCAGCATCTGATAGAGCCCTGGGTCTGTTGCGATGCTCTGAAGGGCTCCCGCTCTCTTGGCTTCACATGACCCCACACAGGCTTCAGTGATCTCCTTGTAGTACAGTTGCTGCTCCACAGACAACTCATGGATACTTCGGGGCTTTAATCGAAAAGGGCCCCCCTCCAGGAGGGGTGGTGCCTTCTTCTCTTTCCCTTTGCCATCAGCTGGAGAAGCCCTTTGACCTTTGCTTTTCAAGGGTCCATCTTCCTCCTGGCCTGGCTTTGCTGACTTCAGGGGCTCTGTGGCCTCAGCCTTCTGCTGGTCTTTGGGAGCTGGAGGTGGATTCTCTGGGATAGCTGGCTGGCAGCCTTCAATGCTCAACCAATGAGCTTTGAGGCAGACGTCCAGGGGCACCCGAGGCAGAGGAGTATTGATGATGTCACTCAGGTCAACCTCCTTCTCCTCATTGAAGTAGAGTTGCCGGCCCCCACCAGAGGCGGACCGGAAAGGAATGAACTCTTGAGCATGGAAGCCATACAGTGGCTCAACATTCTTTAGCTTCAGTGCATAGTCAATGTCACTGGTGGTGAGCTTCCGCCGTTTCCCCATGTGCATGAATTTTAAGGCATCCTGTGCAATCTCCTTGATGCGGTAACTGACTTCATCTGCCAGCAGCTGACAGGTTTCATCCTGAATCTGGGCGATGCCCATTGATTCGGCCACCACCTTCATTGATTCTGAAGGCAGCACAGTATTGCTGAGCTTCAGCTTCTTCTCCTCAGCCATTCTGGAGCTCTTCCTCCCTCCCCAGAAGGATGATGCCCTAGGGTGGAGAGATGGGAGATCCTGGAGAACTTCAATAGCCTCCGGAGTGTTGGGGTCCAACTCCAGCAGGTCCAGGGGTTCCCAAAGGTGTGGACGGAGTCAGTGAAGAAAGAATGACACGAAGACAGCGTTCAGTTGATCAGCAGCCTAGTCAGGTTCTCTAGCCAGGTTCTAGCCAGGATCTCCAGCCAGGTTCTGTGTTTTATTTTCTTGTTACATCTGTATTTATACCAGTTGATTTTAATCCTACCAATTTCTATTCCAAAGGTTAGGGCGTTTCTTATCTCTATTCCAGGGAGTAAAGATTATGTAGCTTAAGCGTGATTGTTTGTAGTTAAAGTGATTAACTATCCGCCTGGCACTTAGTTAAGGGGTTTTATTCCCTCCCTAACTTCAGGGAAAAATCCCTACCTGGGGAAACAACCTTTCTCAGAGAGGTGACCTTGGTTAAAACACATAGCACCATGAATGGTGCCCGAACAGGGACCCTTAGGTAAGCCCCCCTGCACTTGGGACGGATAGGACTGCACCGTAGGGTGCTGCAGACCCCTCTATAGAGGATAAGTAGGGTAAGAGGGTGGATAGTACAGAACATAGATTGACAAGATGGGTCATACTGAATCTAAAGAAAAAAGACTCTGTATTGATCTTTTAACACATATGCTTGCTAGCAGAGGAGTTAAGGTTACTCCCAGTCAGACAGAAACTTTTATACAAGAAGTATGTCCATGGCTTCCTGAGGAAGGAACTGTTAATTTAGAAACTTGGACTAAAGTAGGAGAGCAATTAAAGAATTATTACAGATACCACGGATCTGAGAAGGTCCCGGCAGATACCCTTTTCCTCTGGAATTTAATTCGTGACACCTTGGCACCAGAGGCAGAAACAGTTAAACTTTCTCAAACTTTAAATAGTCCCTCGGCTCCACCTAGAGAGGACACATCATTATTGTCTCCAGCTCAATCTAAGAGCAATTTAGCTATGCCTACTGATCGGAAGGAGAATAAATATCATAAACATGACCCTTGGTCCTTTCCAGTCAGTAGAGAGGAGAAAAGCCCTCCCATTCAAAACAGGCTCCCTAAATTAGAAAGGAAGCCTAAACCAGGTCCTCTGGCTCCTATGAGCTTCATATCTAAATTTCAAAGAGCGATAAGAGAAGCTGAAGCTAATGGAGATCTTGAATTCTCACTCTGCTTCCCAGACATGTATGAGAGTGAGGGGGACAAAAACCCCACCTGGGAGTCTATACCTTACCAAATACTTAAAGAATTAAAATTGGCCTGCTCTGAATATGGACCTCTAGCTCCTTACACACAAACCTTGGTAGAAGCCCTAGCCAGTAAATGGGTGACTCCTTATGACTGGTCACAGGTTTGTAAAGCCTGTCTCTCAGGAGGCGATTACTTATTATGGAAAACTGAATATGATGATCTTGCTAATAGAGCTGTAGCCACTAGCAAAAATTCCAGAGAAGGACTAACCCTAGACATGATATTAGGAGAAGGTGATTTTATCACGGCTCAGGAGCAAATGTATATGCCCAAAGAGGCACTTATTAAAGTAAACAGTTGGAAATCCCTACCTTGTACAGTAGGAAAACCAACCACCCTTACAGAGGTTAAACAGAAGGTCGAGGAACCGTATCAGGATTTCCTTTCTCACCTCATACAGGCAGTCAAGAGAGTAATCACTAATGAAGAGGCAGCCGATATCCTAATCAAACAACTGGCTTTTGAAAATGCTAATAATACCTGTCAGGCTTTATTAAGGCCGATTCACAGAATGGGAACTATAAATGAGTTTATAAAACAGTGTGCTGATGTAAGTCCAGCATTTATACAGGGTGTAGCTATAGCTGCAGCTCTCAAAGGGGAGACATACCCTCAATATGTACAGGGCATAGGACAAGCCAGCAATAATACAGGTAATAAAAGAAATATGAACTGCTACTCTTGTGGCTTACCTGGGCACTTTAGCAGAGAATGCCCAAATAAAAATAATAATACTCAGGCCAGATGGCAAGCTCCTCGACAGCCTGGAAATACATCAGGGAATAATATTAACCCTCCAAAAACTGTTTGTCCCCGATGTCAGAAAGGTTCCATTGGGCAAAGGAATGTAGATCAAAATACCATAAAAATGGTCGGCCTTTAAATTCTACAAATAGCTCCCAAGGAGGTTATATCCCATCACCTCAATTGGGAAACTTGAGAAGGGGCCAGCCCCAGGCCCTTGCAATAATAGGGGCATCAACCCTCAACCCCTCTGCAAATTTCAATCAGTCAGTGACCTCTTCAGGGCAACCCCAGGCAGTGCAGGATTGGACCTCCATTCAACCACCCACGCAATACTAACCCCAGACTCGCCAGTAGCAGCCATTCCTACAGGAGTGTCTGGGCTGCTGCCTGAGGGAACTGTGGGATTAATATTAGGGCGGAGCTCCACCTCGTTATAGGGGATCTTAGTCATCCCAGGAGTTGTTGATGCAGACTACACAGGAGAAATACAGATTTTACTTTCCCCACCCACCACAACTATACAGATTCAGCCCAACCAGAGAATTGCCCAATTACTCCTGTTACCAATATATAAAATAGGGACAGCTGTTACCCAGGAAGCCAGAGGGCCGGGGGCTTTGGATCTAGTGATGCAGCATTTTGGATACAAGAAATCCATGCTGCTAGACCTACAAAAATTTACAAATTCAGGGAAAACCAATTGAAGGTCTATTGGATACAGGAGCAGATGTTTTCCTGCATAGCAGGGAAGGATTGGCCCCTCTTCATGGCCCACGCACACCACCTCCACTTCCCTAGTAGGACTAGGCAAGGCATCTAATGTAAAAAAGAGTTCTCAGATTTTAACTTGGGTTGATGAAGATCAACATTCAGGAACATTCTGTCCCTATGTAATTATGACTATCCCCTTTACATTATGGGGAAGAGATATCTTGTCTCAAATGGGAGTTCTATTATATAGCCCCAGCGGTGTTTGATTTACTACTGTTACAAAAAATTACAAGAAAGTGAGTTTAAATATTCCTCTCCTCATCATGTTCTACAACATACTCTATTTGTAATTAATATACTAAATGTAGATTCTGAGGGAAATTCCCTGATGTACAGACATTGGAACCCTGATCTAACTAAACCTAAAGCCCTCGTCAAATGGAGAGACTTGCTTACAGGAGCCTGGAAGGGACCTGATGTACTTTTAACCTGGGGGAGAGGATATGCTTGTATATTTCCACAGGACACAGACTCACCTGTGTGGATTCCAGACCATCTAGTCCGACCTTATGTCTCACTGCCCTCCGTCTCCGCCTCACCCTAGCACACCTGACCAGTGCCCATCTGCAGCAGATGTGCAGCCCTGAGCTGGAACAACCTGTCCATTGGGAGGATCACATGTGCCTCCTTTTTGTCTGTCCATATGTCCCAGCTTTGCCCCACATCTCCTTTCCTTTTTCTTTTCTTTTTTTTTTTAATCTGACTACTTGTTTGCTGGTTCTTTGGCCTTTCTCCTTCTCTCCTGAACACAGCCTTTTCTAGAATCTCCCTACCCTACTGTTCCAGGAAGGGCACCTCCCTTTTCTGCCGTGACTAGGGGGTGTCTGGTATATGCCCCATATGTGGAGTTGTCTTGTGCCAAGAGCCTGACATCCTGGGCTGAGAAAGCCCTGTCCCAGGACTACATGCTGACAGGCCGTTCCTCATTTGTCCTGTATTGGCCCCTCTTGCCCTTGTGTCAAGAGGGACCCTCTTCTCACAGTCCATTTGCCCACAGCTGTTGCCTGGGCTTTCTGTTCACGCTGAGGTTGAGGCCTTGTGGTGGCCGGTGCCATGGATCTGTCTCTCGCCCAATGGTGTGAGCTGGGCCCTCCCTGGAGAAGAAACCTGGGTTCCCCAAGATATGTGACCAGAGCAGGGGCCCCACCAGCAGGCGAGGGGAGCCCAAGGCAGGTGCTGGGCGTGGAGGCCACAGGGGCATAGGCTACCAAGGAGACAGAACTGAACCTCTTGCAGGGGGGTGCTGCCCCTCCCTCATTCACACACCTCACATCACCCTGCTTGGCCCCGGAGGATGGCTGGTTAGCCAGAGACGGGTAAGAGTCCTCAGGAAAGGAACAAGCTAAGACAGGCATAGTTGCAGAGGGGCCATCAGGAGACAACTTGGGGGTCAACAGAGGTGGGGCACAG